TGTAGGCCTGAGCTTCACTTGAGAATTTAAAGAGTTTGCTGCTTTGCCTGCAGAAGGTATCATGTGGGGTACGAGCTGTAGGAATGGCTGCCCTGGCAGAGTAAAGGAGGGATGTTCTGCTCTCTCGGATGCTTCGTGTACTCTTTTTTATTATTATTCAGAGTGTTTTAGGCACATTAATGTACAACAGAGTAAGAAATATCCCTATTTATTAAGGTGTTTTTTGAGCCTGAAACTACTTGAGATAAAACAAGCCTTGTTTCATTCAACCAACTTTTATTTTCCTTTTTTTCTTTCTCTTGTTTACTGCTTCTGCTGCTTCTTTACTCTCTGCTACCTGGAATCACTGGCATGAACACTGCCCATGTCCTGGGGCAGTGTTTTACAATAGCTGTGACATTAGAAATGTATTATTGGTGTAAAAACAGTGTTTTGTTAGCCTACATAGTGCCTCGATGGTAGCAAAACGAGCTGTCTGCAGAGGCCAAAGGCCGAGCTGTGCACCGGACTGCGCTGGCATTGCTGTTTGTGCTCCCATGCTGCTCGTGGTGGTTTTGCACTTCCAGCTGAAATCCGTGTCTGTGCGCTGCGATAGCTGGTACTCTGTGGCTAGGTAGCTGTTTCCCACCATCGTAAACGTGGGAGTAGAGCAAAGGAAAGTATTTGTAACTGCTTTTATCAAGCTAGGGGAAACATTTTTTAATCAGATGTTACTTTGTACAGCAAATGCAGTGGGAAATTAATAGCTTCAACTTATATGGTGGGTTTTCTTGTTGTGTTTTGTTTGTTTTTAGAAACTTGATTCCTCTCTCAATAATTATATAACCAAAAAAAAAATCTATTAAAAAAAAGAAGGTGATGGCCTGTTTTAATGATTTAATACCTGCTTGTCGTGACTGAGTTGTGCACACAGGGCTGGAATGGACCGCTTGGGCTGTTGAATCTCTTTACTCCTTCTAATAAGCAGCTCTTGATCTTTCTCTTAAAATGGCAGCTGGGCAGTGTATTTAGTGATTTTATACATATTTAGGGAAGGTTTGGGACATTTGTTTGGATTTCTAGCAGTCTTTCGTACAGGCTGCTTGAGAAGTTTATTGGTCAGATTAGAAGTGTTTTCGTGTTTGTGGCTTAAACTTGTTTGCAGCCGGTTGGTGCCCTTCTTGGTTGGCTTTTTATCCTTTCCGCTAACGGGACCTTCCCTTTCCTTCAGCAGGCCTCTATCACATAACTGTAAGGAGCAAAGGTACCTGGTTTAGACTCTTGTTTTCCGAAGCTGAGCAATTGAGGTGTTTGTAACCTCCGCTTGTGCAACAAGCTGCAGCGTCACCCGTGTCTGCCTGTGCCGGATCCTGGCTCTCCTCCTGGTTCGTTACAGCTTTCACGTTGGTGTTGGTGTCGCTGTCACCTCGCTGCAGCGAGGCAGCGTGGCTGCTGTACTCATGGACTGGAAGAGAGAAATGGCATCAGTTCCAAGACCTGGGCCCTGGCCTTGGCCTTGATGTCCTGGCTCTAGTGGCTCTTTGCTCTCTCTCTTTGCTCTTCCGTTAATGGGACTGTAATTTACACTTCTAAGCAAGGCACTGCATTATTTATTTTGTGGAAGCCCGTGTTTTATGGGCTACAAACAGTAGCTACCCAAAGGTGACTAGGCAGAGAGCTTTAGTTAGTTTTTGTAAAAATTTTAGATAAATGTGGATTGTAAAATTACTTTAGAAACTTTAGAAGAAAAGAGCTGCTTTCAGCAGCCCAGCTGAGTTCAGGCTTTGCTGCCGCTTGTGTGTGCACAAGCGCGAGTCTGACCATGGCACCTCCTGAGGAGGACCCTCGACCTCTGGGGCCTTGGCTGGTGCACCTCATCCGAGAGCCCCACGCAGCACCATGCAACGTGCTCCTTCTCTGCTGAGGCTGACGCCTTTTAAGACTATTCTGGCTATGTGTCTGTGGGGAGGGGTG